CCTGTATGCAGGCCGCATATTATCGCCTAGATCACTTGTACAAAACAAGCGGCCTCTTCCCTGCTGTACATTTAGCTCTGCTTGCCCAAAGCCGGGCTAAATGTAGAAAACAACTACCCGCCCGTCGCCCGGAACTGCATGTCCCGGGCATCGGGAGATAGGAATTCCCCGCCCCTTCTGCCCCTCTACTCCCTGCTGCCCCGAGGCCGGGCCTTGGTTGACCTTGTGGGAAATCTGGGCCTGCTGATGAGGGTTAAAAGGAGAACTATGAGGTGGTTGAAAATCACTCATCCTCATAGATCGAGCCGACGTGTGACAATGAAACTGTCACAGGTCGGCTCAGTAGATCGGGAAGTGAGGGAACGCATACCGGCGCTCGCTCACTTCTCCATCCTGTCCCTGCAGAGAGTGGTGACTGTCAGTCACGGCTCCCTGCAGGGATTCCCCCCCTCTCCTCTCCGATCCTCCAGCACTGACTGGCGGAACAGATGGGGGAGGGGGCGGGTACAGCTGGCTCTGCCTCTAGATAGGCAGAGCCAGCTGTCAGTCACGCAGCTGGGTGGATCTTGACAGTAATGTCGGACGTGGTGCTCTCAGTATATAACGAGCAATAGCTCGCTATATACTGAGCTTTGGGTGACGGGAGGACGCTAGTTTGTGTCCTCCCGTTACCCGTAGGAGGACTCTGGGGAAAAGCCCTGACCCCAAAGTTCTCCTTTAACTAAAGGGTAAAAATGTGCAGGAACCCTCATCTGACGTAATGTGCAGCTCATAGGACGCGTCTTTGATCTGCACATACAATATGTAGTCCTAATACATTGTAACCATTCTATTGTTACAACGGAATGATCAATAAAGCTTGCCTTCATTTGCACGGGAGACACGGAGTGGAATCCCGCTCTCAAAGTGACAACAGGCGCTAATGATCTGATGGGTATAACGGGCCGGGGCGGGCGAGGAGACCCGGGGCATACAAGGTGCTTGGAGGGAGGTTCCTGGCCATATGTGGTCTACGATGAGGACGTGATTCCGCCGAGGTTCTGAAGCATTTTATGGGGGGGAAAAGCCCATGAGAAGTGAAGTCTTGGCAGTCAAGATCACATGGTCTCTTGTCACCAATGGTGCTTCACCAACGACTGAGTCTAAATACAATTGCGTGGAAGACTTGCAGGCAGGGGCGTAACTAGAAATCACAGGGCCCCATAGCAACATTTTGTATGGAGCCCCGTGATTGCTAGTTATGCCCCTTGCAGAGCCCACCTGAGAGTGACCCTGCAGAGCCCGCCATGGAATCTCTATAGTGGGCTCTGCGGGGGTCTCAGATGAGCTGCACACCACTTACCTGCCTCCCCTTACAGCCAGCACCCCGATATGCCATAGCGACCCACACGGCATCAGAGGGATGACCTGGCCGGGCACCCCTGTGCCCGGGCCCCGTAGTGGCCGCCTGGGTCGCTATGGCGATTGTTAAGCCACTGCTTGCAGGTATTAGGATCAGCGAGGCCCGGCCCAGGAACACAGCTGGCACATGTGGACAAGCAGGGTGACCCCGAGTTGTCAGGCGGGATCCCGTATATAGAAGGAGAACACTTTTTGGATGAATCGTTTTCACATATTTGACTTTCACAGTGACGGATATAATATTCGCAGGTATCGGTTTATTTATGTCAAAATATAAATACAGACCTGCGGCGTCTAAAACGTTTCCAGATTGGAAAACAGGATTTTGTCTACATATATACAAATATACGAATAAATTATACATCAAAGTACATATAATATGGCTTCATCAACAAGTCCAATCCTCCTCCTGCAGGGTGATACAGACAGAAGGGAGCTATGAGTCTCCTCCTCCTGCAGGGTGATACAGACAGAAGGGGGCTATGAGTCTCCTCCTCCTCCAGGGTGATACAGACAGAAGGGGGCTATGAGTCTCCTCCTGCTGCAGGGTGATACATAGAAGGGAGCTATGAGTCTCCTCCTCCTGCAGGGTGATACAGACTGAAGGGAGCTATGAGTCTCCTCCTCCTGCAGGATGAAAAGTGGAAGTTAGCTATCAGTGTTTCTTTTTCTTTTTCTTCTTCTTTTCCTCTTCCTTCCTCTTCTTCTCTTCCTTCTCCTTCGCCATCTTCTCCTCCTCCTTGTCCTTCTCGTACAGCTCGGGTGGGCAAGGCTTCAGATGGGGTAATTCCTGCCACAGGGCCAGAAGTCTCTTCGGGGTCAAGCCGTGGGCAACCAGGACATCGGCATAGCGGCAGGCGTGGTCATTCTTGAGGCCGAAGGAGCGGAACCTCGGCTCGTGGTGAAATGTAACCTTGGCTGCCAAGGCCAGGAACCCAAAGAAGACGTCGTCGAGGGGGAAAATGGGAATCGTGGCCGCCGCCCAATAGAGCGACGGCACCAACTCCGATGGGAGGAGGAAACCCCCGCCGGAGACAAATGGAGGGTAGTAGCCATGCGGATAGACGGAGAGGGGCACGGCGTACTTTCCCCAGCGCTCGGGAGGTGCGTGGATTTGCAGCTGGCCGTGGATACGGAGCCGATATTCCCGAGGAGAGGAGGAGATGTAGGAGACCAAGGCATGCGGGTTCACAAATTCATCATCGTCACCTGCGGAATGAGACAAGAGGAACATCTCAAAGATCCGGCTTCCTGGATAATGATCAATCATATAACAGGAGATCCTAAAA